GAACAAGAAGCTACTAGGGGCTCCTGGCCTTACTAGGAACAAGAAGCGTCCGTTGGTGCCAACACGTCTACTCACAATGGACCAGACCACGGAACTTCTTGGCACGTGGCTAACACCGGACCGATGAGTGGCACCACTTCGTTGAACCAAGTGCTGCGTTCAGACCGTTTGGCCCTTAGAAGGTTGAAGACAAACAGCTTAAATATCTATAGTCTATAGTCATCAATCCTCACACTTGAACTTCAAACAGCTCTTGCACATTTGAAGAGGAACTTCTATCAAACTTTACATGTGTTTGGAGGGAGAGCAACCTATTACAACTGTCAAGGGCTGAAGGTCATGAAGAGTGACCAAACCAAATCTCTAAGTTCTAAGCAACAATGCCCAACTGAACCCAAAGAAGCTGTTCCGTAGGCTAAACCACTCCTCCCAAAACAGGTGACCAGGCTGGGTAGGCCTGCAGGTGAGCCTCTGACCCAACAACTGATCAGTTGATCCCAGCCTGGTTGGTTTCAAATCACTTGAAACAAATAGAAGTGACTTGGGGTAGGTGGTTTCATCCCAAGTTGCTGAAAAAAGCATCTGAAACCACCACCTCAGCAGCCGTTTGCTCTCCTCGTCCTGCCCAGCTGCCCGATTTGACCGAGACGCCAAGAGCACTTGCAGCCAACCCTCCAATGGCACCTTGCCTCAGCCGGTCTTCCGCTGGCGCGCATGAGACTCGGTCGTCAAGTCATCCGGTATCCAACGCAGGTTGAAGAACCCTTACAGGATGGGCCCATCCTAGTAGGGTCGAATGGCTCTACAAACGATGCAAGGTCTTGAGTTTTACCATTTGGAACAACTGCAATACCTGCTACAATGCGTGGCCTGAGTCCACTGGTGACAACTAATGGAATTCAGGGCACCTTGGGGAAACAAATATCGCCACCAACACACTGCAATCGTCGAGGTCATTTGCTTCGAGACTGACGGATGAATGCCTCAATCTATACAAAAAGACACTTTGCGTAGCCAAACGGCTCATTGCTGCTTCCTTGCCTTAATCACCTCTTTCACGGTTCAAGGACAAAATCCAAAGAGTGATAGAAACCTCCACTCTGTCAGTCTTTTCCACCTTTTCTTTTTGGCAGTTCAACGACTCACCTTGTCTCAACCCACGGACTTCGCTCCACCTTCGCGCCCGAGCCGCTGATGGCGGCGAGGCCGCTGGGCACGTCGGCGAACTTCAGGTTCTGCGAGGGGCTCAGGTAGCCTTCGAGTGTCGTGCGAGTGTCGTGCGAGCGGGATGATCCGACCGACCAATCGGAAGAGGTTTTTTTTGGCCCTGTGCCATGGTGGAGGGGGAAAACAACATGGGAAAGAAAAGGGACAATTATCAGATCTATTAAGTCTATTATAGACATGTTTTGAAATCGAGTCTCGGATTGATGCCTGGAAAGAAGTGAACGTGCTGGCCCTCTCTTGTCTTATAAACCTAACCCAGGAAAAAGGGCCAACATGGGCTAACAAGCTATATACTTGCAAAGGTTGATCATCTTATATAATCTACCCGCTCCGGCCAGCGCAGATTCGACAAAAAGCGCGTAGCTTGGACTCTAAGAAGAGTCTCCTCCTTCGAGGATTTTAAACCTGAAGGTCTCAATTGACCCCGGTTGAAGCTTGCTGATGGGTCACACATGAGATTTAATGTGATCTGATATGGCTCAACATCTTCTAAGCGGTACACAATGTCCACCCATTGGTCTTCAGACTCGACGGATCCTCTCCAGTGGTCTTCTCCGATTTCCACCGATCTTCGAGGCGTCGAGGTACCGTCGAACTTGCCGAAGATGTCAGGCCAAAGCATGCCGATGGTGGCGAACATGCCTCAAATTGGGGCGAACACGCTCGTCTCGGCACGGGGGAATGGGAACAGTCAAAACGGTGGCACCGGGCGGTTGCGCGGTTGCTGGGGGAGGGTGTCAAAGATCGACAGCCAAACAACTGGAAGCTGCTGGCTAGAGCTCGATGGATTGAAAGGCATCTCTGAGATTGTCTGCAGGTGCTAAGAACAAAGTAGGTTGAAAAAACACCATGGACCATGTCACTGACTGACTGACACTAGCAGTGGATGTTTCTCCATCCTGTACACTTGTTCTTCTGTTCATGCTAGCCTAGCTCACAAAATTTGAAGTACGTTGGCCTCCACAAGCCAGCCAACCAACCTGAGTCTTTTCGCGTCACCCGTGAATGAATGGGGGTGCCTACATTGACCCCCACTAGGTGTTCGCAGTCTTTTCGCCAATCTGCCAATCTGCATTAAAACCCAGTGGGACATTCGTCCCGTCACCTAGCCTAGCTCGCCCACCGTCCGCCTCATCCGTCCCAGTGACAGATCCGGCCGTGCTTCAGCTCGACGGCACGGCGGCGGTCGAAGTCCTGCTTGGTGCAGTCGCCACCGCAGTAGCCTGAGCACGACTTCCCAGCTCGGTGTCGGCGTGTCTGTTGCGGGTCGGGCGTGTTGTTTTGGACGGTCGAGGTGAGGTGGCAAGTTAATTATCTCCATGTGCGACTCCTCGTAGGGAATACTACGTCCCAGAATACGAGCATCCCTTGATCCAGCCATCCTCAGGCGCTTTCGTCGCAGACAGACAGAAAACCGGTGACCATCGACCACGAGAAGGAGTATCTCGTCGCCCGACCCTGGGACCGTTGGAGTCATACGTCCCAAAGAAGACGAAGACGCATGTGACGACACGTTGCACCGACACAGCGGACGTGTAAAGCCGACGAGTAAGCAGGTTGATGTTACCCTCCAATGCCAAGGAGGAAAAGCTGTATTGAACTTGCAGGGAAGGAGCGCCTGTTGAAACTACAAAGACTACCATCACCAAACGGGAAACCAAGTCGTTATCATACTCCAAACTCCCGTTCTGAGTCCTTGTAGGAACAGCAACAACAAGCGCGACCTAGTCCTACTTCTACTCCTATGCCTGGTGCTTCTTTGGCTTTCTATTGCTCCACTTGCTAACATACTAGCTACTGCAAACTGATATAGCACTGCTGCTGTCACTACTTCCACGGGAGCCAGCTCCTGTCACTACTACCCAGCAGCCGATGGGGTCCCAGAAGAGCAAAGGATCGCAGGCGCCGATCTCATTGGAGGCATCCTGATGTGCACGACCGTGGCAACCGCGGCGGACCACAGTGAGGGCGTCGTTTTGAGATTGGGTGGTTTCTAGGCACTCCGTATGGGCATCTAGTGCTTTCTGTTGCATTCCAGGGAAGATATAGATGCAGATAGGACAGTCATTGCCTAGGGACCTCTGGCGACCTGGTCGTTCGGTCCTGCCACCTAGCTGATTGAAGGCTGCTTAGGTTGTGGGGGCTTCGACGGTGGTGCATATCGCCTATCTATAGGCAATGTTTCGCCTGTGAAGTGGTTTCTTTCAGGAGTACAACAGCATCATCTCCATTGGTTCCCTTGATCCATCAATCTGAAGAACGCTATGGAGCAAACCCCTGCAGAAGCACCTCCTGCATCCTGGAAAGAGATTCTTGAGCTTTACGCCATGAAAACGCCTCATGCCCAAAAAGGCGATTTGTCTCACCATGCCCCACCCATTTCACACAGCACCTAACACCGAGGCACATACGCGCGCACGACCGTGCGGCCGGCGGCAGCGGGACGGGCCGCGAAGCCAGCGGCAGCCAGGGCGGCCAAGCCAACAGCTCCGGTGGAGGCCAAGCCGCTGGCGATCGAGCGCTGGGCTCCTCGCACGAGCGATGCAAGAGTGGTGGGGCGTGGGCAGAGAAGTGGTGTGAAATGGGGAGAAGAAACTCGGAGCGACACCTCCACTTAGGTTGGCTCCCTATATAGACCCCTTGCAAGCAAGCGTTCATCTGCTTAGGAAGATGCCTGCCCGCAATTCTGGCACTTGAGGGTGTCCCTGAATAAGTCATTGGCCAAAACAAGGGGCACAATAGGTTGATAATGATTATGCATGTGGATGCATATGCATATATCCTACTATATGTCAACCTGACAATGTTTAAGGAACAGTCTCTTGCAGATCCATCTGTGGACTCTCTTTGGGAATCTGCATGCGCAAACAGTTCGATTTCTCCAACAGCTTGCAGATTTCAACCGAATTCATACGTCCTGTCGAGGATTGAGGTCAACACCTTTCCGTTTGCTCAGGGCCATTGACAGGCTTGCGAGGTTGTCTTGCACCAACTAGATTGCATTCAAAGCACCAACTGAACCCACTGAATCGCCCTCAGAGCTTCTTCCTAAGCGTGTGTAAGTGTCTCAGTGTGGGGGCGCGCGCATCTTGTGAATGTCTTTTCTCAACCTTCCAAGATCAAAAAAGACATCAATGTGGAAGCCGAGGCTTGTAGTCTAATGCCGCCAGGTACATGAAATTCCTGCTTGTTACATTTAAAGAATCTCCCAGTAAAGCAATGCTAATGGTTATCGGAATCCTTGGAAAACAGCACTCGTTTGTGTGGACTCCAGAAAACCAGGTCACCAGTTTAGACATTTAACAACAACCAAACCTAAATCTCCGAATTGTAAAATCCACTCTAAAAGAGCTGCGGTGCTGTTGTAAAGCTATCCTCCAGCACCTGTGGTCCCTACGGGTCCCTACACCACTCCGGTTCGCTCCTGCACTGCTAGCTCCCTGGCCCCGCAGGGAGTTGCTCGTCCCCGGCGCCACGAAGGCGCTGGCGCCCCACACGGCGGCGGTGGCCGTCGCAGCAGCGGACAGCTTCGACATGGAAGGCATGGAGGACAGGACCGCGCGGGTTGAGGACGGGGACAGTTGAGCCGAGGGCCTGCGATCGGAAACAACCAATCCAAGGACATGTGATGAAGACGTCCCGTGGTGAGGCCCAGGTGCGGACCAAAACACCACCAACATCAGCCATCTCCTTTTGACTTGCCAGGGGGATTGCTGTGCACTTTGCCGGTAGGCTTGAATCACACCTGCACCTGATCCAAAACGAGCCAATCCGCCGTACATGTTTTTTTTTCAGATGTTTTCAGAGATCTTGACCCCATCTTGACCCCTTCTCCCGAGCAAGTTCTTGTTTGTAGAAAGATCTGCAGGGGTGGGGCCGGGTGGGGTCGTGAAAATGAACACCATGATCCCTAGGTTGGGGGTGTCCGGCTGCCCTCCCCTTCCACCGCTGCTCAGCTCCCTTCGAGGGCGGTAAGGGATGGACTGCATCCCGGTGACGTGGCATGGCCCCGTGGATGACCATGGTCCTCTACAAACATGGAGGTTTTCCACCTCCATCGGTTGCAGGGAGTGTTGTTGGGGCTCTTTTCAGGGGGTCCAACTGCTCTGGTTTTGACCGTCGTTTTCCGACGTTTTCCCCATTCATCAAAGAAACAGACTCGTGCGACGAAAGTAGGGAATGAATGAATGAACCACCCTGTCGGCCTGGCCCCTCTGGATCCATTTCCATATTCCCTCGACTCGTCGCACCAGTCAGGAAAGGAACATCTCATCCCTTCATCTTCGCTCTCCCAAGGCAAACACCTTCTTCGAGACTTGGACAAAGACGGCTGCACGTCACCGTGAAAAGGACATATCCGCCGAGTCATCATGGCGATGAGAGAGATTGCCATTGGAAAAGGGTGAGAGCGATATTTGCTTCGACGACTTAAATGGTTTGTTATACTATTGGCTTGAACTTCAATCTAGCAGCTTTATGCAAGGAGAACCAACTTTTTTTTCATTTACAGCCTTTGTGAGGTGATACCTCATGACCTAGCAGGGGGAAAAGCTAAATTAAGGATCCGGCCATCTCAGCCTAGGACCCCGCCAAGGTGCGCAGTAGTGACAACGGAGTGTCACGCACACACAACCTGCATTCACCGAACTGCACACTAGAGGAGTAACTAATCCTCAGGTCCCTCAGATGACGCTCTCGAGGATTCGCAGGACCAGCATACCGCTCTCGGTGCGGCTCGCAACCATCCAGCTTCCGTAGTTGCTGGATCCAAACAGCAAGGTTATGCATCCGTCGAAGGGTCTCTCCAGCACTATGGTTTGCCAAAGTCTGCATGAACCAAAGCTCGGCCAAAGGCCTATCCTTCAACTGCATCCCCCAAAGAAACAAAGCAGCAGTAGCGCAACCAGTCGCCACCCCCTCGACTTGTGGGGGGATGGCAGGCATGCCATCCATCCACGAGGCCACAACAGTCTCAAAGACCTCAAAGCATCGCTCACGCAGATCCTCCTCCAAAGGGAAGATAACGCCGTCAACCCTGAGACTTTTTCGACACTCCATGAAGTCCTCTTCAAGGGCCTCAACATCCCCAGCAAAGGCTCCACAAGGGTGTGGTCCATAAAGCCGCAAAGCTTCTCGCCGCTTGATGCCCGGCAAGTCCGGAAACTCACCAACAACCCAATCCCGAAGATCAACAAAGCCAGTAACTCTCAACCATTCGAAACACAGGTTGGGGGCTCCTGATCTCGACAAGTATCTCAGGTGGGCCTGGGCCCGTGGCAAAGTCCAAAAAAAGCGGAGGCATACTGGACAGCACGGATGCCGCAACATGTTGTACTCTGGCGCACGAACTCCATGTGAGTGCACCTGGTGACTCCGAAGAGCTCTAGAGGTAGTGAAGCTAGCCCCACAATGACATTCAAAAGCGTCACAATCCGCAGCTGCATTATGCCCCGGAACAGATGCAGGTGCTTGTGAGTGAAGCATTTTCTTCACCAGGACATACTTGACAGTAGCTTGCTGCACCAACCTCTTCCATCCTGGGCGACCTGCACGCCAAGAAGCGCATAAATCAAGCCACGTCAAACCCCAGCCATCGACCGAGACGTGCGCCCGAAGCCATTCCATGTCAACCTCAAAGGCTCCCAACCAACTGTCAGGCCTAGTGCTCCGCTCACACTGCAGGCTATCAAGCAGGAAGTGAGGTGCATGGACTGCAAGGCGCCTCGCATACAAGAGTCGAGCCACCGCCAGCTTAACTCGCAAACAAGGCAACTCCAGGTAGCACAAGATGGCCTCATCCGTCCAAACCTGGGCCTTACCTTTGCATGCTACCTGAAAAGAGATCTGTCGCAAGAGATTCCTATAGCATGCATTCAAAACCCTGTATTGCTTACCCGTCAAAGCCCCCCAACTTCCAGCGCCATACAGAAGGCGGGACAAAATGAGTGAATCCAGCAAAGCCACCCGAGCTCTCAAGCTCAAGCTTGGGTTCCTCAAAAGTCTGCGTGACAACTGGCGAAAAGAAGTCCAAGCCACAGCAACACGCACTTGGATATCCCTTCGAAGCTCGCCAGCAGCATCAACATATGTACCCAAATGCTTGTACGAGGCTCCAAGTTGTAAATCCTTGTGGCCATGCACGACAGGGTTCTGCAAGAGACGTCTTCTACACTCAGCAGCACCTGGGCCCACAAAGGTCGGCAGACCTTCTGTTTTACCCCTTGAGAGGTTAAGGGTGAATCCGTGCTTGGTGAAGAGCCCCTCCACAAACTGAAAGGTTGCCTCAACTTCCTCCAACAGGCCATCATTGGAGTTGGAGACACTTGGAATACACAGATCATCAGCCCAGACCACAGAGTGGCCCAAACCCTTCAACTTTTCCAATGCCTCCATTCGGTCAGGTCGTCCAAGCAGCCATTCCTCAATGGATGAAACAACCGGCGCCATAGCAACATGGAAGAGTGAGTCCGCAAGCGGGCTCCCAGGTCTGCTGCCACGGTTAGTAGCAACTGGCTCATCAACGATCGAACTCCATGTGAAGCTATGTAACTCTCTGAACCAGTCACGCCTAAAGCCCTGTTGAAGCAAACCAGAGTTCTCCACAAGATCTATGGCGGCATCAAAGCTGTAACCTTCACGAAGAAGTTGCTGCAGAAGAACCTGCCTAGTACGTCCGTTGCCAAGGCCCGGACCAAGGACCAGTTCCCGGATCAGCGAATGATAGGCCGCCTTCAAATCGACGAAGAGCAGACATGTGGGCAAGCCAAGACTATATGCACACCTCACAAATAGCCTCATAGCATGACTCCCAAATGCAGCCTCCTGATGTGGAAGTCCACCAATTTGACCAACAGGTCTGTTCTTCTCAAGTTCTTGCATCAGCATAGGTCTGAAAAGAGAGTGGGCCCGCCTGGGCATCAGATTAAGCAGCATGATTCCACGAAAATGCTGAACCTGAACAGGTGACACCGTCTTGGGGATCATTTTGAGAACTCCTCCCTTCCAGAAAACAGCTTCCATGCATTGTACCATAGACTTGAGAAGCAAGTCGAAAAGGTGAGGGGCAAGGAGGTGCGGCCCAAAATGCAGCCAAGCGCTAGGGACACCATCAGGTCCCGGAGCCTTTCGGGCCCGAGTGGTTCTCAAAGCACTTTCCACGTCCAGAAGAGACGGCAGATCCTCCCGAGACGGAGGATGTGTCTTCTTGCCCTGATGTTCCATCACAATTTCCCGGTAGAGCTCCGTCATAGAGGTTTCAGAGCCTGCTTCGAGTTCACAAAGGTAAGGCCTCCACTGGTCTCTCAGGCAGTCCTGCCTCTCTGCGCTCAAAGCTAGCCTCTTCACCTGATTCTTGGGTAAATGCTGCTGCACCAACCTCCACCAACTACGCTGGTTCTTGCTGGTCTCAGCAGCCGGCAAAAGAGCCGCCAAATGTTCCCAGAACTTTTTTGCGTCTCTCCTCACTAATGAGGTCACCCAGTTGCGAAATGTGAGGAAGCACCACTGAAAGACCGCCAAGCACCAGTGCAGATGGGACAAATGTTCCTCTTGGATACCTAACCAGCCTGGTGCGCCAGTGTCTCCTTTCCACACAAAAAAGAAGAAATGTAGCCAGAACCTGCGCAAAGAGACACGGCCTTGCAAGAGGCGAGCTCGCCAGAACTGCTTGTACCCAATCATAGTCTTGGTCTCTTCAGAAAAGAAAGATTTCCCATGGAAGGCCTGACGACGAGACAAGGTTTTACTGGCTGCCCAATGCATCTGATCAAGAAGTGCACCAGCATGACGGTGGACATCCAAGCGCCAATCAATTGGCCTCAAGTGCTGAGCAAAAGCCAGCATTCCATCAGCACCTTGCTCATCGAAAACAGACTCATCATAAGGCCCAATAGAAGCTCGCGCACTGACAACCATTTTCGTCCCACACTGGATGCTACCACACATATGGAGAACCACAGGTCGGTGATCATGCTCAAAATCATGGATTGCCAGACTGTCGTCTACATAGGAATGCAAATTCAAGGAAGACCAAGTTTGCGGAATGAGCACATAGTCGATCCTTGACAGCGAGCCAGTAGGGTGCATCCATGTAGCTGTTGGTCCAGAGTGGACTCCAGGCCAACTACAGGGAGCACACAGCCCACATTCCAGTAAAAAAGAGTGAAAGCAGGCACCAGATTCATTCTCTTCTTCAGCTCCGTGTCCACCTACAGCAGCTGACTCCATGCTTCCAATTCGAGCATTTGCGTCCCCAGCCAGAATCACAGGCAAGTGACGAAGATACTGGGGAATATGATTTGTGAAGTCCCTCCAAAAACTCGAAACTGCAGCTTTGTCCGCACCTGTATGCGGGGCGTGGAAAGTCCCAATCAAGATATCCACACTACCCTGCACCAACCGAGACAACAGCAAATGCGGTGTGGCCACCACAAGTCTCCAGTTTTGAGGTTGCAACTTCAAAAACTGCCCAGCTTCCCAAAAGATGCCTGCCGTTTTGTGTAGTGCCATCAAAACCCCACCCAGACCTCGTTCACTGGGGTGTGACAAAGTCCAGTAGTGTTGGTTATTCACCACTTGGTTTTTCATCCGTGTTTCTTGCAAGGCAACAAGGGATGCCCCCCGTGCATTGCATTCCTCGAGGAAATGTGTCACATTCACATAGCAAGAAGTGTTTTTGCCTTTCATCGTCATGGCGTTGTAGGACAAACAGCAAAGATCAAGCCAAACCTTGGCTCCATCAGCTTCTGACTGCTGCCACTCTTCCAAAGTGTCTGCCACATCTTCAGAGAAAACCACAGGCGTAGCAGGCAGGAGGAGTTTCCCACCATGCCAAAAGGGTTCAAGGTCCGCACGGAAGGCCAACCATAACCACGGAAGCGCCTTGAAGGCAATACCACGTTCATTATAGAAGAAGGACCACGCCTCGTCCAGGTCGAAGCCATTCAAAGCAGCATGCCTTGACAAGACGTCCACGCATTCATTGCCAGGGTCCCCTTGGTGTCCTCGCACAAAGCATGGCTGCAAGGATCCCGGCCACAGCATCTCAAAGAGTTGGAAAATAGACCTGGCTGCCCGAAAAATAGGATGAGCTGTGTCTCCCCACATAGCACCCAAAACTCCAAAACCGGCTGAAGTCGAATCGAAGTGCAGGAAGACAGACGGTGTACTAGCCCACGTGAAGCCAAGAGACCGAAAAAGGTCAAAGGCCCATTTGCCCGCCATAAGCCAGGCAGCCAGTTCGGCGTCGTACGACCCCCAACGTGCCCCCAAATGGTGTTGCAAATGACCTGCAAAGCGCCATCCAGTGCCACAAAGAACCCAAAGGGCGACTGCAGCACCCGAGAGTTCGCCAACCTTTGAGCCGTCCGTATAGAAGTGCAATTCATAAGGCCCAGTGCCATCCCAGTGCTTCAGATGCAACCAGGGTAAACTGCATTCAAGCCAGCGCATCTCAAGGTTGAAACTGCCAGTGCAGATCATCCGGCAAAACCATTTGGAAAAATCATGCACATCAGCAAATCAAGCTCTTCAGAAACATGCTCATAATCTCTGTTCTGCACAGGCAGGGCATCGGCCAGAGAAATCACTGAAGGTGTGTCCCCAAACGCCCCAGCCAGGGAGGAGTCTAACTGAGAGACATCCCAATCCAATTTGGCATATCTGCACTCCCATCTCCATGCAGACAGGGCTGGACCAACTTCCCCACGGACCGAGAGCGTCTCAGTGATCTCAGCAACATGGTGATTCAAAATGGAACTGTCCAACCACCATTCTGTCTTCGAATCTCTCTCACCCTGCGCCTCAACAATCGGGTTGAAAAAGATACCATTACCTGGCGGCGGCAACCTTTCAGACGCCACTACACTGAAAGATGCCCTGTAATTCGCAAAGAAGGGGCACCACATCCTCTGACGACCACCTGGCCTAGCCAGGCCAAGCTGATCCAACAGTTCCTGCTGAACTGCAAATGGTCTAGCATAGGTCACTTCATGGACCTGCTCACGAGTCAAGCCAGAGTTGTATAGGGCGGCCTGTTCCATAATGGGCAAGAGGACACCCTCTCCCGGAATGACCAACTTGAGGTAGCTTCCATGGTGCAGACCTCGTGGTTGAGGATCTTGTGCCATCCACAAGGCATCCCCATGCCATAAAAGACACCTATTGCGGCGCCCCTCAAAGCACAAATGGAGGAAACCCACTTCATCAAGAAATTCTCTTCGAGAAAGGAAGTTCGACACCTTCCAAACTGAGCGGAAGAAATTCAAGTGTGCTTCAATTGTATCACAATGCTGAACATCCATCAGGACATGAGCCTGCGTCAACAAGGATGCTCCTCGATAGACCAAAACAAATGGCCACAAAGAGGCCGCAACCAAATCAGCAGGTCTTGGTACAACATTTGCAATAATGGTGTCTGCTCTTTCTGCCCCCTGGGCAATGCCAAAAGTGTCAAAGATGTGACTCCGCACAAAATGTACCAAATCACTATCAGGGCAAAAAAGATCACGAACACCACCATAAAGCACAAAAACACGCACATTCTCGACTCTTCTTCGTACTGCTCTGCGTTGCATCAAGCAGAGACCGACATCCTCTTCACGTGGGGGGACACCCAGGGCAGAAGGAGAGGCGGGGAGGTGTGAGCCACCGTGCCTCCCTCTTAGGCGCTCCCTCCACTCTCCCTGGATGCTCCTCCGAGTTTGCAACGGAGCCGCTCCTCCTCCACACTCAGCTGCTCTTGAAGCACCAGATCTTCTCTGGCCACTTGCAGAGGGTTGGAAAAGCGAGCTCACATCATCCAGATCAATGTCCAGGCTTCGCCACTGTGCAATGTCCATGGGTTCCCCAGAAGTACATGCACACTCTTCAAAGCCACGAATCCAAACATCTACACGCTGCCAACTTTTCAAGCGAAAAGGAGAGTTGCCAAGCTCATCAGTCCCTTCCACCAGGACCTTGCAAGTAGGCGCCACACACACACGCCCACCATCTCAACAGCTTGAACAAACTCATCAAAGGTGACAGTGGCCGAGGTAACCACCGGTCTCATAACCTGTGAAGGTGCCACACTGAAGCCAAAGTCAATGACAGCCAAGCTTGGAAATCTGTGGAAAGAAGGCAAGAAAGTTACTGCAAGCAAGTGGATCTGATCATCACCACCTTGTTGGAAGGGCGATGGTTGAGGCCAGACCAAGCCTGCAAATAAAGGCACAGCAAGCGGAAGATCCTGGTAACAGAAACGTATAGCCATTTTCAAGGCATCTTCGTTCAAGTCATCATCTCCATCAAGGCTGAAGCCACATGGTTGCCACGATCTATCGACAAAGTGTACCGTAAAAAACGGCCATGCACCCCGAGCATCCCGAAAGGCTGAAGCTTCACGCCAAACCAATGGAAAATCACGTAAGTGCGTGACCCTCACAACTGCTTCTTCAAATGCTCTTTGCTCTCTAATCTCCTCAGGGAAGAGGACCGGCAGGTTGGGCATTGGACTAAGCTGAAGCCAACCTGGCCAGGGATGGAGACCAGACAACTGGAAGAGCACATGATCGTCAGAAACCCCATCTCGTCCACTGAAGGTAGAACCGAAGGGCTCGTCAAAGCTCACCTGGGACGCAGGCCGTACTCCAGAGCAGGTTGCCTCAACCTGTGACCAAAGCAGCAAGTAGAGGCAAAAAAAACATCTCAACCCAGATCCTCGGGGAGGAATACTCCTTTGTACAAGCCGTCGTCGCCCACAAATACACAAGTGCTTCTTCTTTCTTCTAACAGGCCACAAAGAAAAAGCCACACTCCCCAGAAGGAACATGCGGCACTCCAGAACCAGCAGGAAAGTACACTGCTCCACTAGGAAGTGACAAAAGGGATCGAAGTATGCCAAATAAACGAGCCAACATTGTCGAGGAGAAAGGGACTTCCACTTCAAACTCGAGGTAAAACCCTCAATTCCTGTAGAAGTCACAAAGCCAGGGAATGACAGCAGAATAGGGAGCCCACTCCCAAAATCCAGCTCATCGTAGAGGTGCAAGCCTGATGAACTCAAAGTGCTAAAGGCAGCCTTCAAAAAACACGGCGCCAAGCAGCCCCAAGCTCCCAAAGAGGGCCCCAAGAAGGCACTCACAGGCCCTTGGCATCGATGGCATTCCTGGCCACTTTTCGTGGACCAAAAGGCAGGGCACCAGCATCTCGCTTGGTACCCAAAGCATCCACACTCATATCTTCTTCCTCCTCTTCCTCCTCCAAATTGACCGTCTCCGGCATCTGAGCAAGATCTCCAAAGGTCACATCCTCGGGCGCATCGCCATCCTCGCCTAGGTCTCCACCAGCTGCAAGGGACTGCACCAGTGCTCTGTGATCCAGAAACTCTTGCTTCTTCTCCTTGAACTGTTTCACAAGTCCCGCTCTTGTTTTCAGGTAAGATGCCTTCTGGCTGTCGAATCGATCTTTGAGTGTCTTCTGAAAATCTGTCCACTCTTGATCTGTTGTCTTGATCTTCACCAAGAGCTTCTCTGCCGCTCTCCTCAGGTTGGCCAGCTTGTTGACATGGGAGTGCTTCAACATCTGGTCCTCTTCCTTGACAAAGTCTGACAGAGAACTGGTCAATTCTTCGGGAATCTTGTCCTTCTTGTGGTACAAGAACGTCCGAATCTTGTCGCACATCTCCGAAACCGGCTCCTTGGGCCCAGGGAGCCTGGGTCCCGGGAAAGCTCCATGGACTTCTGCCTTCACCCTGGAGTCCGGGGTCGTAGAAACCCAAGGCTCCTTGAGGGGGACGAAGGGCATGAGCGGGTCTTTGCTCGATGAAGCCGCTTTCCCTTCTTGATGCACCGACTTCGACCTTGATCGCTGATCGCCCTTTTTCTTCTTTGACTTGTCGTCCTTTTGCTCCTTCTTGGGAATCCTCCAGCAAAGCTCCCACCACGTATTGCATTTGCGGCAATACACGGAGTTCTGGCTCATGCTGATATTGCAATGCCGACACTCCCAAACCATCGACATATTGGCAAATCTTTGAGGTGGCGCTGAGCCGTGATGCCACTGCAAGAGAGTCACAGCTCTGGCAATCTTCAACCCTCTGCCTCTGCTCTTCCGGCCTTTCGCCGGCCTGGAGACACACCGAAGAAAAACTCTTGCCTTGCCCCGAGCTTTCCTCAGGTTCCTGTGCCAGCTGGGCTCTGTCGTAGCAAAAATGCAGAAAGGCCAAAAAAACCAAGAAGGATAGCAACCAGGAAAAAAGCGTCGCCCTTACCATGCACAGCGCACGGCCGCGGGCTAGGGTTAGGCCTAGGCGCCACAAAAGTGCGCCCCGGAGCCAAACCTTGGAGTGCGCCTGTAGCGAAGCTTGCGCTGGTGTTCACGAGTCCCTGAAATTTCTTGACATCATCAATGTCGTCACGGAAGTTAGCCAATAGCACATTGACCACAAGATCCAATGTCTCGATGTCACTCACTGGTTCAGTTCCCTTGAAGTAGTTGATTGCCATTGCAATCCTCATCCTGACTGGCTCTGCCTGTTCCCCAACGATCGCTGACAAAAGCGAGGAAGGCATGATGACTGAGGTCTTCTTCGGAGGGCGCTCTTTCACAGAAGTGCCCATCGTCGGGATTGATCCCCTCAGCTCATTTGCAGCGCCCTTAAGGCCCACAAGGTTCCTTAACTCATCAACCACACCTCGGTTTTTTATTTTTCCGGGTTTGAAGGTGAACGAGCATCATACCCCACATCTTTCTTGACATCAGCTTCCACCTTCGCAGTACAGAACTTCCCCAACCAACTCCCAACCACCGACATAGCCATACTCACCGTTTCCCCGACCTTGCCCGCCACCTACCCCGATCTTTAGGCGCCCGAGCCAATGCCCAGCGGTTGGCTGAGATCGAGGGTCACGTCCGTCGCCACCATCGGCACCTCCTGGCGCTCCGAGAACGACTCGACCGGCGTCTCCCCGCGCGGCGCGGGTGCTGGACGAACGGACCGGGTCAGGTGTGGTCGCCGTCGATGGGAGGCCGGGTCGAAGTGTGGGGTCCCAGACTGAAATCTTGAGGAACTCCAAAGCAATCTCGACAGGCCCCAGGCTCCCCGGCCCCCGACATTTCATGCCTCCAAGCGAGAAGGTGGTGAGAGAAACTCGTAGTTGAAGGTTTCGTTCATCCAGTTCGGGTATGCATCACCAAACCCTTCCAATCAAATGACGACCTCTCAAAGCAACACAAAACGATTTCTCTTCATTCCTTCAAAGGTTGAAGCACCCGCCCTACAAGATCCCTGTACATGCCAACAACAAGCCTCTCAACCTCCTCCTTCGCCGCTCTCCTGCTCCACCTTCGGCTCCTTTGGCTCGCTCGCCGCCGCGGACGCCGCTGCGGACGGCGCGTCCACGCTGACGCCGTCGGCCGGCGCCAAGAAGACGGCGCTGACGGTGAGGGTGCCCTCCTCCTTGAGCGCCTGTGGTGGACAAAACGCCCAGCTGCGGGATGGGAATGTGTTCAAGCAAGGGTGGGGGGACGGGTACATCTGGGTGTAATGCTGACGTTGACGTTGATGTTGATGATGATGTTGATATTGATGTTGACGTTGATGTTGTTGTTGTTGTTGTTGATGATGATGGGTGTTTGCCATTGCTATGTGTGTATCTGGTTTAGTTCGGCCAGTTGCGAGTGGTCGTCAGTGCCGTCGTCCTCCACGTCCGTCCGACCGGGCCACGCCGTATCAACGATCAACACCGAACCCACAGGGGGCTCCACAAAGCCATCAAACCACCTGGTTGCTCCGCAAAGCAAACAAACGTGGTTTTGGTATGGTGAACAGACTTGGGTTTTCCATGGATTTTGGTTCGGGCCCCTGGTTACTAATTCACACACACTGTTCAGAGGTACCATGATCATCTACCAAACATGCTTTCCCGGTTGCACTCCCCCAGCTCGCCATCCAAGGCCCCTCTGACCTTCAACCATCTTCGGCCGCGTCCATCGCTCGCACGCTCATGCCAGTTGCCTGGATTTTGGCGACCAGCTCGCGGGTCTCTTTGAAGTCTTCTCCTGCTGTTCAGGTCGTCTCGCGGGTCAAACTTGGGCCGGAGATGCGGGGCAAAACCTGGAATTGGTGCGCATAGTAGCTCCACCACCATTGCCATTGAATTCCTGCGCACCAACTTGGGCCCATGAATTCCTGACTTCCTGGCTAAAATTGAACCCATAGTAGCTCCAGCGGCTGTTTTGGTGCTGCGTTTGAGCTCCGTGGAGCGGAGCTCCCTCCATTCCCGTTTCAATTCGGCTCGTCCTGCAAGGGATTTGGCGCGCCAGCCAGGTTTGATGCCCAGCTTCGCACTCTGCGAGCCTGGACACGGCTCCCAGTGGAACGATCGAGCCCGGGTGGTCGACGTCGATCGTTCCATGGCGATGTTGAACAACCGGGTTTGGGGGGGGGGTTGATTCCATTGGTTTTGGGGGGTGTTGGTTTGGGGGGTTTGGGGGGTTTGGCCTTCCAGTTGCCAGGTTTCATGATCATTGTTCTTCGTTTACAGGTGCATATATGTATGATGTAAGATGTGAACATCCAACCCAGGGACAAATGTATATATAAACACGACCACACTTCCTGTTTTCACGCGTTGCAGAGAGTAGGTCT